TCGCTTGGGCTCCCCTCAGCTCCTCCCCCCCAGCGCCCGGTGCCATCGGCAGCGTCCCCCGTTCTGTGAACTCTGGGGGGGTGGTTGGCTTTGTGAGTAAAATAAACCCAACGTGAAGCATACACTAAACTCTGCAGTTTTCTCCTTCTTTCTTTCACAACCTCTGTTTTTCAGCTGTTTTCATCTCAAATTCACCATGTGGAAGTTAGGAAAGGTTGTGTCTTGTTTATGAAGCAACACCAGCAGAAGTTTGACTCTGTAAGTAAGGTGCGCGTTGGGCAGTTCTGCACGTGGAATGAGGAGGTGACGTGGGAGGGGGCGAGCGGTCCAAAAGTGTCCCCACGTAAATGTCCCCACCGCAAACACGTCGCGCTTTGCCAGCCTCGGTGCGTGGAGGAGAGGAGAAATGGCAGAGGGAGTGCGTGCTCACCTTGCTTGAGTTGTAGTCACACAAGTTTTATTTGACTTTGTGCGTCTGAAGTTCCTGGAATAAAGCCAGTTGCTAATGCTCAGCGCATAGGGTGACAGTTACTTGTGCAGTGTATTCTCTGTGGACCGACCATTGCAGAATTTAGTAGGTAGAAAATAGTATGATTTTGGAGTAAGAAACGAATATCAAAAGGTGGTGGAAAACTCCAGAGTGTGTTTAATTGTTGCATAAAGTCATGGGTTTGGGAGGTTTTTTTGGTTGGTTGGCTTTGCGTGTCGAGTTTTGGGCGGGTGCATGCACAGTGAGGTTTTGTGTGGCGATGGGATTCTCTTTGAGGGTTTTTTTTGTTTGTGGTTTTTTTTTTTTCTTTCTGTGTGTTTTGGACGCCGCTCCCCCCAGTCACCGATAAGTGCTTAATCTAATCTAGGATCTCTTGGTGTTTTTACATTGATACCCCAAATGTTTCCCATGGTCTAAGGCAGGGAACAGCTGAAGTCATACCCCCAGTCAGACCACAGCCCTTCAGAACGCAGAAATGATAGGAATTGGCCGACTAGTCCCAAATTTGGTGTCTTTGCCCCCTCCCATTCTTTCTGTGTGTTTTGGCCGCCGCTCCCCCCAGTCACAGATAAGTGCTTAATCTAATCTAGGATCTCTTGGTGTTTTTACATTGATACCCCAAATGTTTCCCATGGTCTAAGGCAGGGAACAGCTGAAGTCATACCCCCAGTCAGACCACAGCCCTTCAGAACGCAGAAATGATAGGAATTGGCCGACTAGTCCCAAATTTGGTGTCTTTGCCCCCTCCCATTCAACAGATAGTAACCTGTGGTGTAGTGTTTAGGATTAACTTTGCTTTCCAACTAGCTAAGTTTTTATATTTGTTTTCTTCTTTGCTTTGTTGAAAGTATGTGGAAGGATCATTTGAGAAATACCTTGAACGGCTAGGAGATCCAAAGGTAAGACTGGTCTAATATTTACCAAGAAATTGAAGTTTGAGGAGACTAGAACAGGGAAGTAATTAGGCGCTGGTTAAAATGTGGTGATTTGGGGTTCTGTGGATTTTGTGGTTGTTTTTTTTAAGATAGAGCCCAATTCTGGGGTCTCATTTGCATAGGTAATACTATGGGTTTGTACATGTCACACGTATAAACAACACCAGTTTTAGTGGGGAATTTGTGTTGGTGCAAAGGAGCAGTCTGTGCAGACTGGAGAGTAAAGCTGAGGCCTCTCGTGAGCCATATTCATAACTGCAATTCTTCTCTGAGAAGGAAAAGGAAAATATGTGGAGTGTAGCTCACACTACATGTTTATTAGGCTTTGCAGTCTCTTGCTTCTTCCTTTACCCCCAGGTTTGAATACTAGAGGTCAAACTTTTATTTCTTTAGACTTTCACCAATAAGTATGGTGAATGTAGCAGTCTCTGAAACAAATGTAGTGCTGTTAATTTAAAAAACGCATTTTGAATGATGTGTTTAAGAGTCGCTGCCAGAACTAGCTCCATCTTACTCAGTTTGGTAATCTTGGTCATCCCATGTAGCAGGCTGCTTTTTTTTTTCCTCCTGGAAATCCTAATATTTCAACTCTCAGTGAGTTTGGTTGGGTGTTTTAATACTACAGAGAGATAGAATAGAGTTCTTGGTGTTGAACGCTGCTCTGCTATCTCATGTAATCTCATAATTTTGCGTAGGAAAGTGCTGGCCAGCTGGAAATGAGTGCTTTATCAATGATGTACAAGTAAGTGCCTCTTAAGTTTCACTTTGTTTTGGACTTTATGGTGTTCAGGTTCTGGTCCCAGAACCTTTTATTAGTTTGTCACTGAGATAATAATGTGTGAAATACGGTGAGAAATGCTACCCTAATTAAGTTACTTAAGCTAACATGTAAATAGGTGCCATCACAGCCCCTGTTCTCATCTTGTGGATTAAGGGGAGGGTCAGTTTCCAGCAGTGTTTATTTGTTATCTTTTTGCTGATGTTAAACTCAGAAGTTAAGTGTTTCCTTCTAGTGGCTGATAGATGAACATGGGGATAAAACAAAGAGCTGTGCTTAGTGGAAACACTGTGTGGTACTTACAAGCATGACTAGAACTCCTGTAGGTGTTCTTGAAAGCTCGGGTAGTGAGGAGTGCTTGCCCTGCTTGGTGTGTAAATCCTGATACTGATTTCAGAGGTAACCTAAGCCTGGGCAGGTGCTGGTGTCTCACTAAAAATGCTGCCATCCTGTAACAAGCAGTTTGGCTCTCCAGTGGTAGAAGGAAGAACCCTCTCTTTGCAGGCTCGTTCTGTTCCAGTACTAGAGGAACAAACTGAAGTTTTGCAAGAGTTAGTAGTTCTCTATACTGAGGCTCTTATCCTTTTGCAGGGTGATTAAATGACTTAGACTTGTCTCATGTCTGAGCACCCTGCCATAAGCAAAAGTACTTGACCTAATATGATACGTCTGTACCTGTGACTAAATGTAATGGTCTTTTCCAGATTTTTTTTTTTTTTTCCCCCTAAGATGGGTGATGGTTGCTCATCTAGCTATTGCTGTGTGGCAGCTATGCTGCATTCATTTATCAGGAAAAGTACTCTGGTTGATTTTTCTGTAAACCAACAGCGGATTCTCTAAACAATTCCCTGCAGACTTCTTCATAATGTCGTTCTACTAAAAGTGTGCTCTTTCAAGCCTTGTTTTTCCTCTGCTTACCTAGACGAGACTTTATTCTGTACCGATACCCTGGAAAGCCACCCACTTATGCTACAGACAATGGCTTTGAAGACAAGGTGAGGAGAAGTGAGGCAATTTCCAATCCCTACCCCTGAGTCCTAGTTACCTCCAGTCCTGTCTAGTTGTAAAACTTGCTGCTGGAATTGAGCTCTTGTAAGTCCAGTGCTCTCGCATACCTGAACAAAACCCCAAAGCTGACTTCAGCTCATGGAAGAAGCACAGTATTTGCACAACAGTTAATTGTAGTAGCTTTGCTTCCCATCCGAGGGATGGATTGTGTGCTGTTCCCATGCCAGTCAGTTTTGTTATTCCAGTTAATTATTGAAAAGAAATTTAAGTTTGGAAGGAAGACGTAACATCACAATTCCAGAATATTCTTTCATATTTCTGAAATATCTTTGGGTAGAAACACTTCCCAGTGGGAATTTGACTGATCTGACAGGGTAGAATGAAATATCTGCGTTGAGTTGAAGAGCAGAACAAGGTATATTTATCATATTGGCACAGAGAAGGTGTTCTCCCCCACCCCAGTACCTCTCTTCCTGAAGTCAGATGAGGTGTGCTGCAGTTTTTCTTCCTGAAACAGGGAAGTTAACAGGAATGGATTAATCTAAGGAACGGATTCATTTCTATGACATACAAATTGAGCACAGTTAAGCTGTTCCATTAGCTCCCATTCTTACCTACACAAGAACTACTGCTGGGGGCAAAAAGAAGGAACAGAAAAGAGAAGTACTCTGTATTACCTCCCATCTGACCCCTCTTGTTTTTTCTGCAGTCATGTAGATGTGCCTACACAGTTATGTGGATAGCTCAGGCACGATGCCAGTGAAGTTGCTGTGGTATGGATTTCAGCACGGGCTATTATATTTGCCAAAGTGGCTAGTCTGCTCTGAAATCTGTGCTGCTGCAGCTCTTCTTCTCTGTTGGTTAGTATTACTGTCTTTGTTTACATGCGCTTCTTTCTTTTCCTATGTAGTTTCATACGTAGCTTAATCTAATTCCAAAATGAGCTAACTTCAAAAATCGAGTGCTATAGTCTAAATATGTGTTTGTCCTCGAAGGCTCTAGCACCAGAGCTCTCATTAAGTCTTGGCAGCTGTCTGTCATTAGACTGCATGTACAGGCAGCAGCTCTTTCTGGTGTTGCTCATTCTCGCCATGAGATGAGAGCTTGTGTCGGCACACTGAATGAAGAGCCCTGGCATCTCCGCTCCTGCCGGTTCACTGGGAAGCAGCCTTGCTGGCAGTGTGCTGACAGCTGCCTGAGGGCTTCTGCCAGTTGCCGTTGGCTGTGGTCGCATGCCAAGATGGGGTTCGATGGTCTACGTTTACTTGGTGTATCAGTGCATATGTTGCAGAAAGCATGCATCATTTGAAAAGGCAGCATAATACTGCGTATTAAAAGCAAGGCTTTGTTGAGGGCTAGAGAAGCAGATGCTCTTCTAGTCCCTCAGGTAGGGAAGGGTGATATGTGCCTTTGATACTTGGACAGTGTATCTCAGGAGGGTGCTGCATTTAACGGCTTGTATTTATTTTACCTCTTGAGCAATTGGTGGTTTCAGAGGTAAGCTGGAAAGAAACTAATGTTTCATGTTTAATACAGCATGATTTACAAATCGAGAGCTTTTCTTTGTATAGTAGACACACTTATTTAGAGACTTTACCTAGGATTCAGTTTTAAGCTGATTCAACAGCCTTTTCATATTTGTATTGAGAATATTTATTGTTTTCTTGGTGAGTTGGGGTTGACTGTAGAATGAAAGAATAATATAATCTTGAGCTAGAATATAAAGTAGAGAGAGTTAGGCTTTACATCATTCCAGCCTTAAAGCTGCTTTTTTTTTTTTTTTTTTTGATTTTACCAGATTTTACTGTGTTGTTCCGGCAACGGCCATTATGACTCTGTATATGCAAAACAATTCCAGGAAGATGCTGCTATTTGCCAGGGTAAACTTGAAATCATCTTTCTATGAAAGAGAATTATGTGTTTTCGCATGTTTGTAGGCAGTGTTCGTTTTGATTTTTGGGATGGGGCAGAAAGAGATGGAAGCTAATAGATTGTATATTAATAGGTAGAATAATGAGTGTATGTGTATATTAAGTGGGGCACTGGACCAGATAACTTCCAGAGGTCCTTTCTTCCCACCTGAATTATTTTGTGATGCTCTCCTTAATTGAATTTAATATAAGTAGTGTTTTGTAATAGTGAATAATATATGAAGATATGTTTATCTTGCAAATTTCGACAGTTCTTATGGATCTGGTATTACCTTAATTTGGTTTGAGCTTTGTGTTAATTTCTTCAGCTGTATTATATGAGATCCTGTACAAAGATGTGTTTGGCATGGATGAGGAAGAATTAAGGTCTGCAGTTGAGGTGTTTCGAAGTGGATCCAAGAAGAACAGAAACAGTGGCTCTGTAGGAAATGAGGATGCAAACTTTGATTGTCTTCATGAAAGAGTATCCAGAAATCCATCAGAAAAGAGGTAGTGTTTTGGGAAGGGGATGTGGTAAAAGGGAGCAAAAAAAATTAAAAGCCTTGCAAAAGGCAACTTTTCCAATTTGCTTTGAATATTCATGGGGTGTTAACTCTCTTATCTCATGACTCAAACACAAAGCTGACTTGTATTGTGGAAGAGAGTGTGCTTTCCCTGGAGCTGGGAAGTGTCACGTAGTTGAACATCATCGGCTTCTGGCTATGTTATAGTTGTGTATTACTCTGTAAAATGACATCTTATTTGTAAATAAAATGGTTCCTTATGTCATCAGATTTTTTTTTTTAGTGAGAAACTGTTGTTACTCTTCTAAGCCTCTGTAGCTCTGCAGGGGCAATAGTGTATTGGGAAAATGAGCTCTGCTTTATTTTCTAGTTTGTCCTTTTTTAATGGAGTTGTACCCCAAATAGACAATTACCTGTTGGCGTTAAAGTCTGTTGGATCACTGAGGGTGAGGGGAACAGACAGAATGTACCTATGGAAACCCTCATATCCCGTGTGGTTCAAGTCGCTAGAAGGGCTTGAGGGGAGTGCCTCTGACCATTACTGAATGCTTGCAGATGATATTGGTTTGATGGGACTTAGAACAGGGTATCTGGTTATACTTGACAGTGCAAGAGTTGAATCGGTCAGTGGGATCATCTTCATCCTTTCCTGATGCAAGCAGTAGCCCTTCTTAGGGGTGGGTGTTGGAACAAGCAAAGGTCATCTTCTTGAAACTAGGAAAAGGGTTGTCCTGTACTGCATCGCAGCCGTGGCTGGTGCTTAAAGCAAAATCTACCACTTGATGGCACCATGGTGCTTTTTCAGGTTGCATGAACAGTCGCTTGACTTTTTAATCCTGGCTAGAAATTATGCATAGTATCGTTTGTAATTTTATTTTCAATTACTTAGAGCGGACGACTGGGAAGGCAATGATACTGACAATCCACAGGAAGATAAGTTCAAACAAGGCATTGAAGAAGAAAAGGTTTGTCAGTTAGGGAAGAATTCCATATGGTTTATTTTGTTGGGCGATATTACTCTTGTTGGTACTAAACCCTATTTTCTGCTTTTTAAAAATTACTTTTTGGAAAGTGCGTGGCTTATGTCTTCCATCTGCTAGTCTTTTGGTTTTGCCCTTGAGTTTCTATTAAATTGAATAAGCCTTTTTCCTTTCTGAGATTCTCTTGTTCTTCTATAGCTAATATTTTTAATTTTTTTTTCCCCCCAAAGATGGAGTTTAGCAGATGTTTCCTGGTCTGCTGTTTGTTTTTCCCAGAAATGGTTTAAATCAGTTCACTTCTGCTTTGCACACAGTATCAGTCACTTTGGAACAATTTTAGAAAATGTATAGAAACCTGTTTTCGGATATAGTAACTGAAATTCCCACCAAATTTTGAAGCCATGGCTTCATTGATCTGGTTAGCTTCCTTCAGTTCTTTTTAAGTAAAGAATATGCCGGATGTTCGTCTTGAGCCTGTTTCTAACCTTTCCAAAGTCTGTTTGCTCAGCTTCTGAATGTCTAAATGTGTTTTCATGTTCTTGAGCTTTAGTTTTTAAGGCAAGTAATAGTGGAAGTGAAAATTTTGGAAAAGAGTGTGTGTACATTTTAAAATGGTCCACAGATGCTGGCAGGATAGAGACTCTGCTGAACACATTAAGTGCACTTGGTAATGTTCCATTTCAACTGTTTTAAGCCTCCAGAAAATCCATCAAAGATGCCTGTTCCTTATAAAGTGCTGAAGGCACTGGACCCTGAGATCTATCGAAATGTGGAGTTTGATGTTTGGCTGGACAGCAGAAAAGGTATCTTTAAAAAGGGAAAACTAGACAGCGGTTTCTGTAATAGGCTCAGCGTTAAATTTATTAGTCTGACGCCGATGTCACCTGTTTCCTTACAGCTGAAATGTGAAGGATACTAGTTAACCCAGCAGAGACTCGTAGGTGGTACATCTTCTTGATAGTAGCTAGTTTCTTGGCTTCGTTTCAAAGTATGAAATACACTGCTTCTGACACTGTATAATGGTAATAAGGTTGCTAAAAATCTGACCTCTGCTACTTGGTGACTATAGTATAGGAAATACAAGTACTCAAAGCAGAGTACAGAACTCCATTACCCTTCTGTTGTACTGGAAATCATGCAAATTTCAGAGTGTTTTGTTGCAGCATGTATGCAAGTAATTCTGCTTTTTAGAGCAAGATCTTGGCTTCAGAGTTGTATAGTAACAAAGATCATAAAATTTAGCATTGACATCTGTCAGATGAGATGAGTTTTCTCTTGCTTCCCAGCTCTCCTGGGCTTGAACATCCTGGAGAGATTTCAGTGGGCTTCGTGGCTTGGCATAGGTTGCTGCTTTTTGACATACACTATGGCTGATCTGTAAATAAAGAAGTTACCAAGAAAGATAAGTTTTGAAGTGGTGTTTGATGTCTGACCCAAAGTACCTTGCATACTGGAGAATTCCAGCATTTTACAACTGCATGAGCAATAATGAGGGTCATTAAAAATTCTTGAAACAGAGTATAGTAACTAATTGTTGATGTAGAGTACTGATGTGCAGAGAATCCAGGCGAGGAATGGAGAAAAACCTACTGAAATCTAGCAGCAAGTAGACTTTAGGCAGTGTTAGTTTTTTCTGGAGAACATCTCCTTTTTGCTAAGTGCCACCAGTACTCTAGTAAGATAAGGCATGTCCAACATTAATACCAGGATTGGTATTAAATGCAGGACTAACTCGGTACCATCACAAAAACCATTGTGGTATTGAAGTAGTAGTGCCACTTGGTGGATTATCTGGATATTACTGATCTCCTGTGACTTAGCCTGGTTATGGTCTGTTGTAAGAACATCTACAGTGACTTCACCGTTACTATGGGGAATGTTCAGATATGCATAGGAAATACTTAACTTAGTTGGCCTATAACTTGTAGTTGGGTGATGTCATGAAATACTTTTAGGATACATGAAGAAAGAACAGTAGTTTAAAGGCTTTTTCCTTTTTATTTATTTATGCATTTATTTTTAGAGCTTCAAAAAACTGACTACATGGTGTTTGCTGGGAGACAGTACTATTTAGGAGACAAGTGTCAGGTTAGTACTCAAAGGAGACTCAGTTATGATAAAATATTAAAACTGCCTTAAATGGAGTATGGTAAGCCATAAAATTATTTGACTTCATAGAATTTTCTAAGGCTTTTCTCATTCTCTTCCTTGTAGCTGTTAATCTGACTTTTCTTTTTAATTTAATTTCTTTCTAAAATCTAAACATTGGGTAGTGTGAAGGAGTAGCTGCTTGGAAATTCATTGTGAACTGGTGATACAAGTTCTGTGAGTGTGAAAGTTGCAGACCGACAGCTCAAAATGCACAGAATATACATCTGAGGTAGCTGTCTGTTAGATTTTCACTGGAGGTCAGCACCAAATCTGGACAGTCTTCCACCTCTCAACAGTAATGTAGCGAATGTTTTGATAAAATAGAAAGGGAAGACATGAAAAGGGAGGAATAGCATGATCTGGCCAGGAGATGCTGAAGGGAAAGTCAGCTTTCTTTGTATTCCAGTGTTGTATGTAGTGAGGGCTTATTTTTTTTATCGCTGTTTGAGGTAGTGCTGATGATTCACTTAGTGACTTGTTTCTAGCTGAGCAGAGCTTTCCTTTCCAGTTTCCTGTTTTGTCTTCTGTTCTCCTCAAGTTGTTAAACAGTGGTTTTCCTTGGTACTTACCTACTTGGCACAGTGTGTAAAAATAAGTTAGAAAGCAGGTATCTTCTTACCTCTCAGTCACTCACAAGACTGATTTCCCCCTCTCCCTGTTCCTCTGAAGTTAGCACAGTGCTCTTTACTTTGCCTGCTATTTTGAAGAAGTATTTGAGACCCCTGGGCCAGCTCGCTAACGTAGGATCAGCTAGGAGCAGCCTTTTGCTATTAGTGGTTTCTAGACAGTATTCTGAATCCTCCGATATAGTTCGGGTTTTTTAGCACTTCCCTTGTTCTCTCTCCAGGTACGTCTGGAGCCTGGAGGTAAGTATTACAATGCTCATATCCAGGAAGTTGGACAGGATGGCAACACGTTGACTGTATTCGTTGAGGAGCTGGCAGAAAAGTAAGCAGTCTGGTGACCACTTCATGTTTGAACTCTTTCTGGTTCGGCTTGTATATTCACAGATGCTTAAAATAGGATTGTTAAGATAATTTGAAAAGAGAAGAGAACCTAGGCTTTTAAATACAAAGTGAGGCTTTGCTTCCTTGTTGGCTATCACTCTTCAAATAGAATATTGCAGGAAATTTTTTCTCTTGTATTTCTAATGGCCAAATTCATTATTGTCTTGCTTTCTGTGAAATCTTGCTGCTCTTTCTTCTCTGGAATGTGAAAGTGATCTTTGCAGTTTGGGCTTAATTCATGGATAGCGAATTACCTTCTGCTGTTGGTTTCTCTGGAGTTTTTTTATGTTGTATTCAAATAACTAAATAATTGACACTTCTGGTGAGTCTAATCACTTTCCCCATTTTGCTGTTCAAAGCATTCACCCTTCTCCAAACCTAGAATTCATCTTGATGACGTATTGCAAAAATTCTGTGATTGTCAGATGCTTTCAGATGTGCTGCTGAAGGCATACAGATGCATGGAAGAACGACTTGGCCCAGGAAGTCAATAGTTTTGAGACTAAATCCTAGCTTGCCTTTTTAAATAAACGAGTAACAGTAATGTGTGCTTGGTGTCAGAGAAACAGGTTATTATTTTTATTTCCACAAGCTCCCTACACTCTTCAGTTTGTGGGGCTTTCTTTTTTCTGATGTCCTAGTGTTGCTTCAGCTTATGTTGTTGTGGGGTTATGCACAGTGTATCCCTGTGGCACTGCTAACATCAGTGTTCTTCGTGTAGGCATACAGTTCCTTTGGCAAACTTAAAACCAGTGACACAAGTGGCGCCTGTCCTTGCTTGGAATATGGTTCCCAGCCGAAAAGGAGGAACCTATCAGAAAGTAACAGGTGGATACTTCTCAGGAATAGGTTTGTACCAGACTTCCACAAACATTCCATCCCTTGGGGCCAGATGGGAGTGGAGGAGACACTCATGACAGTTTTAACGGTAGCAGTCTTTGGATATTGGAAGTGACTTAATTAAGCCTGGGATACAAAACTTCGTAGCTGCATGCGTTTGATGTAAAGTGATGCTTCAGACAGAGGGATGAATTTGCCTTTGCAAAAACGTAGCAAAGTTGGTATTGTTCAAAATTACCAAGAAGAAATTTGGTGCTGGAGAACCATGTGTAAAGACTGGGCCTGTGAACCAAAAAGCTTGTCTGATTTGGCCTTGGCAGAGATGCATGGATGGACTAGGGCTTCCTCAGCCAATTAAATAGGGATTGTATTTATTTAATTTGGAGGTTTTTTTTTTTAATAAATAAATGCAGCCTTCATAAAGAGATTTTAACACCGAGAGTACTGGTTTGATCAGCTGAAGTTGGGAGGGTATTCGTGTATGAGATGCTTGTATTCTGCTCATAAATTAGGATGCCTGCTTGAGCCTTCAAAATAAGGGTATGAAGATTGCGTACTTAAAAATGCACTTTTTCTGGGATGGGCCATTGACTTTTCCATGTGTCCAAATATTGACTCTTCTCAAATGATAAAGAGAACATAGCTCTAGAGTCAGCTGTTTAAGGCATAAACCTGTCTTTTCTGTCCTCAACTGAAACTGCAGAAATGGATATGAAAACACGGAAGAGAATGCTTAAGAAAGTTCGTGGAAAGGAAGTCTTTATGACTGTGGCTTATAGCAGGGGTCAGCCAGTTCTTCCACCCCGGCTACAACACAGTGTTCCTTCAGGACGCTCTCCTCCAGTTCACTGCTCACAGGGTGGTGGAAACATGGCACCTTACGAACCCTGCCATCCTCAGAATCCTCCTCAGAGACATAACCGTGGATTTGGGATGCCAAGGTATGAAGTCTTGAAAAGCTGTCTGAGCTCACCACTGCTTTCCTATTCACTCTTCTTGCAGACTAGTTAGGAGAGAGTTTGTGCTATTTAATAGGAAAAACTACAAATGAGTTCCATCTGAGAGGCACTTCCTGGTAATTGCACCTTTTACCCTTTAAACTTAGGGGATCTGCCCGATTTATAAACAGGCACAACATGGTTGGCACTCAAATAGCATTCTACCCCAGTCCAGGAAAGAGATGCTATCAGAGCTATGAGAGTTTCTCCTGCAGGTCTTGGTAAGTGAATATAAACCTCTTTACAAAACATTGCTGTAAAAGAGCTGGGGAGGATGGTGGGAGAGGTATGTGGAGGGCCGAGTTGGCTGTTAATGGCACAGTATGAAACAATGGGTTTATTGTGCCTCTCTGGAAAGAAAAAAGTTAAAATTGAGTAATGAAACCAAGGTGAAACTCCAGATAGTGATGATTCTTAACCTCCTTTCTTGTTTTCAAAGCTCATACAGCCGTAGCCGCCGTCAGATGCAGTGTGTGAATAAGGAATGTCAGTATGGGTTTGTACCAGGGAGTGGAGAGGAGCCTCAAGGACCAGAAGAAACTGTAACTTTCTATGAAATTGAAGGAGAGGATGATACTGCTTTTCCTACTTTACCAGTAAGCTATGAACAAAAGGGTGTGTTAAAACCTCTGTAAGGGAGAGGAAGCCCAGGGGAAAACTGTACAAATGTGTAGCACTTCTTTACCTAAATATACAGCAGCATTTTTTTTCTTTCTGAATTTTTTACTTGGAATAAGCTTTAGCAGTGAATGTGTTTCTGAGAAAGCTGAAATTAGTCTAGATCCTGTGAAACATGCTTAAAACCTCACTTTTTTCTAAATGTTCCCCTTCTTTCTCCCTCCCCTCACCAGCAGCACTTGTTTACTCTTTAGTTATTTTCATAAAAGTAGGCTCACGTTTCTGCTTTCTATTGCGATTTGAAAACAAAGCAAAAAAAATCCCTTCCTACTGTAGATGTCTGTCTAGTGCTAAATGTTGTGGGAGAAAGCTTTTCACTTGTTTGCCACACTATAATTTATTATTTGTGTAACTAGATTCAGAAACTGTATAGTAATAGCCTGGCTTGCTTCTATGAATTTGTAGTTGTGATGTTTTGAGATAGCATGTTGCTCCTGAAACAGTTTCTTCTGCTACAGAAACAGGAGAACATTCCAATTCTAGACTTCTCTTAAAACAGTCTGTCTGTCGGGTTGTAGATGAAGTGGCACAGTGTATTCTTAAACTTTAAATATTTTTCCTTTATTTGTAGTCTAAGCCTAGTACAAAGCTGGATATGCTACAAAAGGTCAATTGATATTTAGGTGTTTTGAATAGGATAGCAGATATTTTTTTTTTCCAGGAAAAAAAATCAAAAAACCTGCTAGGTTTGAATTTCTTTTCGCTGTGTTGAAGCAGTGAACCTAACAAATGTTAGACTTGTTATTTAAATGACAGAGGGGGAATCTGCTCAGGGCTGTTTGAGTAGCAGGCATTTTTTAATTTGTCCTCGTGTGCTAGATCTGTAATCTTTGCTCTGATTTTCCTCCAGGAGTGTCAAGGAGTAAGGACAGATAATCCTGCAATTTTTTTTTCCCCAACATGAAATCAATAGCTTCCTAGCTTTTCCTCCCCATTGCTAGACTATGTACCTGCAGCTCCTAATGAATAGTTTTTCATGTTCATTCAGTGACTTTGTTACTGTCAATGCCAAAGCCTTTTCTCTGTCTCTTCCTTGTCTTGTTTAGTAAAGGAATGTAACATTTCCTGGGGAAAGATGCATCTCGCAGAAAACTCTGCCATCCTGCTAGAGGCCTGGTGGGAGAACCTTCTGACTTACCACCTCTGCTTCAACCTTGGAAATCTTAGAAGCCTCTTTGAGCACTTTATCGATCTCATAGTCACCATGTCTTCTGAGGAGAATTTTGAGTGTCACCTTAGCCATCACAAAGGAGTGAATCAACTTCTTTTGTGCGAGCCTCTCAATCCTATGTTCGTGCTTCAAAGAACTCTCTATTTTAAATGGTGGTGCAGCTAAGGACTGATTTAAATGCAAAGAGAAGGGGCATGTGAAGTGTTAAAGGGGTCCTGTGGGAAACCGCGATGGGTGTTGCTCTCTGAAAGAGTCAGACTGCATGTGTGCGTCAAGTTAGTGCAGACAGTGGTGTCTGTGCCAGCAGCCACACACGGGTTTCACTAATTGTGACTAAAGATAACCTTTTTTCATGATAATTAGAGTATTTGGATGAACTGATCTACTGTTGGTGTGGTGGGAATGCTCCAGGGTGAGGAACGCAGGAGTGTATGTTGGGGGTGGCAGTCTTGGCTGTTGTGTGGGACGTGCTCCCTCCTCTTCAGCTTTGAGCGGGAGAAGTTCTGGGAGGGAGCAACTTGACTGTATTGCACAGAGCAGTGGTAGGTCTTCAGAAATAAATTACCTTAAGTATGCTAGGCAGAACAAAAGGTAAAGAAGTGCGTCTGCAACTGTTTCGGTGTAATCAAGGTGTATAGGAACAGACACGCAGGTGGTAATTCTAGTAAGTTTTGGTTGCAGCAAGCTTGGTCTGCCAGGCTGTTTTACTGTGTGTGTAGAGCATGGATAGTCTTTAAACCATTTCTAAATGCATGCTTCTGCCTTTGCATTTTAGAGCCAGGGTAGCCCTGCTCCGATTGTCCATGGTCCAGCAGGATTTTGGGTAGCAAGGAGGGGCCCACACTCTGTTCCACCTAACAAGCAGACCCTGAATTCCTCAGAGGAGGAAGAAGAAGCAAGTGAAAATGGTGAGTTCTTAAAGGATTAGTGGGTGAAGAGAAATGACAGGTTTAGAAGATCTTCAGTGTGCTTTTGATTGTCAAAGCAGGATCCTTACATCTACTAAATATCTCTTTATTGTGAGCTTTGAACACGCATGGGAGCATGTTATTGTTCTCCACTGTCTGATAGAAATGTATCACTTCTGTTTAAGCTTGTTACACCATCAGCCTTGTGATTGGGTAGGTCTGTAGCAAGCCAAGCTGCTGCTTAAAAACGCATGGTGTGAATTTGGCAATGGCAACCTTGATACTTGGTGGAATAACAAAATGAGCATATTTTGAGTGGTTCTCTACCCTTTCTGCACAAAACAAGATGATAGTGATAGCAGTTCATTGATGGGTATACTGAAATGTAGTTCGGGTACCTTCAGCTTCAAGCTGGTTTTTTTTTCCCTCCCCCTGAATCAAAGTTCTCCAGGTAAGTAAAACTGCAGTCTTTACTGATAGAACCCTTGGTGAAAATGCAGTCATTGTGACCTTTTTATAAGTTTCTGAAGGAGTAGATTTAATGCTACATTTTTCACTTAATTTTGCCTATGTCCTCCAGATCCTGACTGTGAAACTGCAACAGTATTTAGTTCAGCAGAAGCTACAGCAAACTTGGTAAGCTTTAGTCTCTGTCTCTTCAGATTAGGAATCCTTGATGTGTGTGGCATTCTTCATAGAAACTGTCCTTGGATGCACGTTTAACAGAGTAGGTCAGAGACTCCTTTTGGAAGAAAGGAGCGATGGATTCATTTATATATTCACCTCCCTTAATGGTGAGGTTGAGTTTGCCAGTACAGTCTGAATTGTACTAGGTACGTGAATGATTTTTCCACCTTTCCCTCTGCAAAGAGAAAACAAGTATTTGAGTGCTGTTTACTTTTCTTCGTCTGCTCCAGACAGCTCTTGCTTTTATCAGGCTACCCTTCAAGTCCTATACCAGTTAGTCTTACTCCTCCATAGTGGAACTGGAGAGATCTCGCCTGTGATAGAACTGACTTTGGAACATTTTTTTTTTAATCTGAAACAAAATCATTAGTCACCTACTGGTCTACAGTGGCTGTGAAAGCCAGTCCTGTGCGTGTCAGAACAAAACTGATTTTACTCAAGTTACAAAAGATCCTCTCTGTAGTCCATAAATAAGTAAAAAAAAAAAAAAAAAATAGGGGTGTGGGCTGTGCACCTTGTGACTGCTTTGCCTCTTAAATGGACCATGCTTGCTTTGGAATTCCTTTAGGAAGAAGGGCCAGTCTCAGTGTCACCTCAAGATGGAGTGGCTTCATACAGCTATCCCCAAAAGGTAGTATCTAGTACTTTGTTGTGGTAGTCCTGTGGAGAAGTGACTGCTCTGCTTGGTTAGTGTCAGTTTGTGGGGTCCCTCTACCGCCCTTAAAGCATCTTGTAACAAAGATTACAGTTCCCTATAAATACAAGCAAAACAGAAGGGTGAGAAGATGCTTTGTAGATGTCTGCAACTCTAAACCTGTATTTTCAAGCCAATTTTTAGAGAACTGGGAGAGTTAGCTGCCTCTGCATGCATTTATGTGAAGTGAGAATTCTTGAACTGTGGTATTTCCATAGTCTTTGTCAAAGCCAGTTGTAGAGGCAGTCTAGTGAATGCTCTGACTCTTTTCCAGGTGGTGAACTCTGCAGCAGTCTCAGCCTCACCAGGTGTTTATGCTGCTCCAGCTACAGGCTTCTCCTCAAATGCTGCTGCCTCCACTCCAGTGTCACACCAGCAGTTCCCCCACAGACAGCAGTTCACCCGATCATAGTATCTTCCCTTTCTGTAGGGAGGCCAGGTAGAGTGTACATAATATGGCTGTGGACCTGGATGTCTTTGTTTTCTGTTACATCTTCCCCTCCTGTTTTTTATTTTTCCTACCCATCCAAGGCAAATGCTAAAAGGCTGTTGAAACAAAAAAGAAAGGTATCACTTGCTTTGGCTTAAAATGACTTCGTAGTAGTTGTAACTTCACTGCTGACTTGTTGCTTTCATGTTTTGGAGGGGACTGTTGCCCTTGAATGTGCATGGGAATTGGAACTGTCTGCTTTGGCTTCCAGCCTTGCCACCTTTAGCCATCAGTGCCAAGTGTTTTGCTAGGAAGTTCTTTTCAGAAGGCAGAAGTTCGTGGCAGTTCTCTTCTTCCCCTACTTCCTACAGTTAATTTTCCTCTTGAGTTGAGATACTGGTTTTACTGAGGCCTTACTATCCCTTCCAAAAGAGTCACTGGGTGTGATGATTGAGGATCCATACAAATGTCTGGTTCATTTTTGTGGCCCTTAGTTAGCTCCTGTGCATAGTCCTTTCTGTGCAAGGAGATCAAATCTGTGATTTGTCACGTGGTGCACTTACAACCTGAAATGTTCTACTTTGTTCATGTGAAACGTCTGTTAAGAAAAAACGATTTTTCCCTTGTTAGAAAGAGGACTTTAGTTGTCTTCTGTAACTCTTCCATTTAGCATCCAAAAAAACCTCCCCCTTCAATTCTGCTCAGTTCTGTCTCCCTTTTCTTCTCTCATTTTTCTCCTTGGTTTTGTTTTCTCCACTCTGCATGAGAGTTTAGTCAGCATGGTTCTCTGTCTACTCACTAGTGCCATTACAAACAACCTGCAGGTGTGCTACAGCTCTGGGCTACATAATGAATATTTAACAGTGTTCTGTCCAAAACGATTTTTGGCCTGATGTCTCTTGAACCTTCCCTTTTTTTGTGGGCTTATTGTCACGCTTCTGATAACTTAAAGTGATTAGTCTGTTCCTTGTTGTTCTAGGACAGAGAGTTATGTAAGGAAAGTCTGGCCTGCCTTCTAGTATGGAGAAATGATTGGAAATGACATGTGTTCTTAGCTGGAACCTGAAGCTTGCAGATAGACATATGGTTGAGGCTTGTGAGATTGGAACTTTCCCATCTGGTTTTAAATTTCTTCTGGACTTCCTTTAAAGTGATTACTAGAGAGAACTTTGTTAAAACTTGTGTTTAGCTGCGCTGAAGTGACAAAGAAGTGCATGCTTAATTGTGTAATTTAGCATGTTGCTCGTTTGACATGCTATTGCGAATTTGACTTGACTTTTGTTTCCTTCTAATTGTAGCAGTTTCTTCGGTGCCGTTCCCAATTTATTCATCTCCTCTTCCTCCAGTCAGTGAGGTGGGAGAAGCTGGTGCCGTTCTTCCACCTTACTCTTGTGATCCCAGTGGCAGTGATCTGCCTCGAGGTAATGATGGTATTTTGTGCTTTTACTGCTGCTGCTCTTCAGCACGCTTCTGACTTCTGTTCTCCATGGAAACTTAATGGAATACCTGTAGTGAGAAGAAATGGCTCTTTTGCAGCTTGCAGGGAGTGAGAAATAATATTATGGATGCTTCTGCTAAAAATGTTTTGATTCCCAGTTCTGAATAGCAAGTTCCTATCTGACTCAATATGTGATTTAGACAGCATCCTAAAGAAATGAATACCAAGAGAGAGGGTGCTTGGCCTATATCATACTGGTTCTTGTGGGAGTAATCATTTTTTCTGAGAACTGATTGAAAAAAAAGAAGTGTATCTATGAGTGTATCTATGAAGTCAAGCTGTTGCACAGTTCAGTGGGATGTTGTGATGGTTTCCTGTATGGCTCCAAGATGTCATTCTGTGGTGTCAGAAACTGGGCATAAAGTGTGGGGCCATCTTGTTCCTTGGGTGCACAGCCTTTCCGTATGCTGTTGCAAGCTACGACAGTGTTGAAGGTACGCTTCAGCTATTAAGCAATGAGCGTGCAAAGATCAATCATAGTAGAGCCAGCAGAGCAGCTCACAAACAGCTTTCAGCTTGATCAGCTGAATGTGGACTTCATTTTCAAAGTGCTAATCTTTAGTCAACTTGCTCTTGCAATTACAGAATATCATCATACCATGCAAGGCTGTGTCAGACAGCCAAGCCTGGTAAGCAGTGTGAGGCATGTACATATTTGACTTTTTTTCTTGTTAATGTGGCTACTCGTTCTGCCATATTTGTGGTTCACAAGGCATAAACAGAGCATGTAATTCACAGAGTTTTGCTTAATAACCCAAAGATTAAATTGTATGCTGTCCTTATTGCAAGCTAAGCGTGTCTCAGCTACAGGAATAACAGTACTGCTTGGTGTGATGCTGTCTAACTTGTGTTTCTCTAGGTGGGGAATGCTGTGAGGCCCAGGTGTGCCACCATTGCATCACTGCACACATTTCAAGAGGCAGATCAAACTGTTCTGTGATGCAGTGTCCTGTCCTAGCTGAGCAGGATTGTTGGTGATGTGTAGTTTTGGACAGCTGTAGAAAATGCTCTACCCTATGCATGTCCCCTTACCCAGTCTTTTGACAGTGCATTGGCACAGACTGCACTAAGGGTTAAAAACTTAGAAGGGCTGTAAAAAAAAAAACAACAAAAAAAACCCCCAAAAAACAACACAACAAAGCCACCCAAAAACAAAACAAACAAACAGAAAACAACATAAGAACTTGGTTATTCAGCCTGCTTGTCCTCTTCATAGCAAGCTTGAGCTTGTCCTAATGTGCAGTGCCCAGCCTGGAGCAGAAATGCTCTGGGTAGGAGCTGGCGTTCAGTTACGGTTACCTGGGTTGCCACTGCCTCATGTACAACAGCTCCAGCTGTCTCTGCCTGCTCCGGCAGGGAGCATGGGGGGAAGCTATTTTTGGCAGCAGTGAGGCCAAGCTAGAGGTGAGCTGTAGCCCGCTCTGAAGAGCGGCAGTGCAGAGCAGGCTGCCTGTTTACGTTGCTGTTCTTCACATAGCAGGTGTTGCTCTGAAGGCTTTTTAGTTATCTCCTATCCCCTGGATCTGTTGAAAGTCTGTGCATCATAGCTAGCTTGTTCTAATAGCCATTTATAGATAGAGCAGCTGACATGATTTTCTCATACATGCGACACTTATTTGAAGTTCCTGAACCTCTCATGTTCCCTGTCGGTGTGGAGAGTAGCTTTTCATTCATTGATGAGGGAGGGAAGGAACTGGCTGCATATGTGTAGGGTCTGTGAAATCCAAGTGTTCCTTTTTGCCAGTTTTGACAAGTGGAGTTTCACTGTAACTGACCGACTTGATTGCCTCCCCCCCCAAAAAAAAACCAAAACAAAACCCATTCTTATAACTGTCTATTTCAGGTATATGGCAGTTTTGGTTCTGTGTTCCATTTCCATGCTGCAGTGCTATCACTCTAGATTATACTAATATGGACACAGCTCAATGGCCTTGTGCTTTCACCGGTACTGCGAATGTGCTCTGCAGTGACTCCACTCTCTGGCGGGTGCTCTCCATTCCTGGTATTATTGTTAATCTTGAATGTTCTGTGTTCCGCTGCCCTGCTGCAGTAGCATCGCTCTAGATGACACTACTGTGGACGCGTCCGAGTTAACATTTTCTGCTTTAACTGAATGCCCTTAACTGAGCATTTTAGCACTTGGGAGAACTGGGTGTGAAGTGTACTGACAAGAATCTGGAGTGGGGGGGGATTAATA